ATGGAACTGAAAGTGAAAGTAGTCAAACTGAATTTTTAATAAACCAAAATACAGTTTCAAAACAAATTAATTCAGTTTTAAAACTTTAAATTCGGTTTCAATTAAGTGAAATTTATTTTCAAACCAACGCATTTAATTTCAAATTCTGCACATTCAGATTCAACTCCTGTTGGCACAGGATTTATCCTATATTGTTCCTCCTCGTCACTTTGCAACATGAACTTCTCCGTGTCGTCTTCATATTCAGTCACACGTGAACATCAGGCTGCTGCGCTTTTATTTTGAAGGCCATGCACTCATGTTGTTTTCACAGGATCTTTTTTATCTTTCCCCAGGTGAGGAGAACAGCTGCAGAATGCAGACGCTCCACATTTACACCTTTACTGAAAGCCCCGGACAGTCCTGTGTATGTGTGTGTGTGTGTGTGTGTGTGTGTGTGTGTGTGTGTGAGGTCTCTGCGGCCACACTAAGTGCTGCAGGCTGTGACCCACGTCAGCTCGGTTCTTCACCTGGCTCGCTGCTCTCGCCGCCGTCACCTTCAGCCACCATCGACCTGCCTCCACCTGCAGGAGGAGGAGGAGGAGGAGACACAGGAAGTGATGAAGACAACATGTGGACACGAGTGGACAGGTGGACACAGACACAGCATCGGTTTAATTCAACAGGACACTGATTCTCTATCTGTTTCCTGTGGGAAAATATCTTTTAAATACAGAAATTTATTGATTATTGTCACAGAACAACTAAAGGTTTCAGTTCAAATAATCAGTTTTTAACTAAAATTATTTATCCTCTAAGCTTCATCAGGTTTTATTTTCTTCAAAAAGCAGCGTAATGTTTTTCATTCTCTCTAAATAAGTAATAAAACTTTGTCTTCTGCCATCCTTTAAAGTATCAGAAAAATTAATTTACATGATTTGAATCATTTAAAGGGCCTGTGACATCAATTTTTTGTAATTATTATGAATGCATTTTTGGAAAGATAACAATTATAATATATGTTGCAAAACAAATTTCATGTCGCTGAGATGAACAGTTGTTGAGATATTTGCATGTGAAGAAACAGGAAGTGATGTCAGAGAGGAATGTCTGCATGTGAACAGAGCATACAAAGCTAACAATACAATGGTAGAGAAGAAACTGTTGTTTCTTTAGATTATTTTGAATCTCTTTCAATGAGAGATGAAGAAGAGTTAAAGTTTAAATAATTTTGTTTAAATAAACAAAAACCAGATTTAATTTTATTAATGAGTTCCCCTTTGATGTCACTTCCTGTTTCACTTTGCCTTAGCCAACTTCAAAGGAAAATATGCCAATTATGTGACAAAATGTGTAAAATCCTGTATACTATGCCAATTTTCTTAAGTATAGAGATGTTTTCTTTGACTTTATGTACTTGAAGGATACGCAGGCACTTTAAAACTTATCATTAATAAAAAATAAAACAGCTTTAATCTGAAATATTTTTTACTCATCATATCTGGGTGTTAAAACGAGTCTTAAAGGGACCCCTGATAAGTTGTAACATTAAACGTTATTTGATAAACATTTATTTTAACTGTAAAATAAAGACTGTAAAAATACTGTAGGATGTTTAGTTTTGTAAATTTTTAAAAATTTATTTCAACACGGATGGAGCCATTTTATTTACACACAAAGCATTCTGGGTAATTGATGACGTGGATAGGTCCTCGGTGCGAGGCTGCTAGCGAGCTATATCCACCCTGACAATTCACCTTGGACAATATCCTTTGTGCTAGCGTTCACGCTATATTGCCTTATATGTATTAGCTCGGTGCTAGCACGACAAACGAACTAAACTGTTGTCCTCCATCCATATTTTCAGTT